ATTCCTGTCTACATTTTGCCTGTCCCCCTCCCCCCAAACCCTTTTCACACCTTCTTTGCTCTGGTGATGGTTGTGCTTTGCTTTTCCAACACTGCCCCAAGCCTTCAAAAACACAGTTGGCACTTAATCTGATTTACTAGCTTCCCCAAAAGAGAAACATGGGTATCCAGTATGTGCCTTCTAATAATAATAAAACAACTTTATCTGCCTTGGTTTCGAGAGAATCCTGTTCTTCTAGTTGTGTTGCACCTGAAGACTAATTCTAATGCGTTGACTTGTTAATTTAGTGCAGACTTCAGGAAGGGGCTGCTAAGTCCTGCAATGAATAAACTGTTTACACAGACAAGTAGAAACCTATCTTGTCTTGAGATTAATATTCCAAAATTCCTCTTTCTTCAGTAGCAAGACATTTTAGATCATGTTTCTGGTGTGGGGGGTATGTTGGCTTGCATGGGGATTTTATTTTGGGGGAGGGAGCATGTTCTTCACCCCCTCCTTCTATAAAGAAAGTTCTGTAGCTTGAGCTTGTAAATTAGATTATTTTGTCCCAGGGCGTGCAAATCGACTTTCTCTGTAAGGCAGTGCTTTGATCAGGGACTGAATAGAGCCGGCTTGTGTAAGAGTGACAATTTCCAGCAGAGTGGCCTTTTTCTCCCCTCACATCATTTCTGGAGCTAAGTGGTTGTCGGGGAGAGTCCCTGCCTCATCTGGTGGGTAGTATGTGAAAGAGTTGGCAGTTCAGCTTTCTGCTTCAAAAAAAAGGGGGGGGGACAGAGGAAAACCAGGGGTGTGAGGGAGAAGAGGGTGAGGGGAGAGAAGATGATGTCCGGAAGGAGGAGGAAGAACTCTGGTGGGTGGTTTCTCTCTCTCTCTCTCTCTCTCTCTTTTCTCCCATGTTTGCTGCTTTTGGCAGAAATTCTCGTTTGCCTTTTTATATTCTGCACTTGATTTGGAGATGTTCCCTTTTTCCCTTGATAGATCTGCTTGAGGCAGCCAAACTCAGCAGTGTACCACTACTAGCCTGCAGCAGCTTTCTTCATTTTCTGTACAAAGAGATTGGGGGGAGGGGGGAAAGAGATCTAGGACACTGTTGAGACAACACTACCTCAAAGGTGCCCAGTGTGTAGCCAGGAAATAAATTACCAGTCCTTCTCTGATCTGCAACCGTTTGACTTTTTTTTCCTCCCTTTTTCTCCCCCATCTTATTTTTTTTAATTTCCAACTCCTTTCTGTTTATACTCACTTTATTCCTTCAGTTAAAGTCTCTCCCTCCCACCTCAGAGGTTTTTTTTTTTTTTTTTATTTTTTTATTTGATGTTTGACAACAGTCTTTGAAGATTTTCTACTTCAGAGTAGCTACTGATGGGCTGGTTGTACTACAGAGAGAACAAGCAGGGTTCCTCAGAGTGCGACCAACTGCTCCTGCCGAAGGCAAACGCTAGTGGGAAGGATGTCACTCCATGAGGCCACAGTGTTCGCTCATAAAAATCCAGAGCAGGCTATGCCTAGTTGCGGTAGTCTCTCCATCCAAACATGGAGACACAACAAGCAGAGTGGGGCCAGAAATGCTGCTCCGGCTAAGCTTCTGCAGCTGGCATTGCCTGCTAAACATGGCTTATCCCTTTTGTCCCCGCGCTGTGTAGAGAACCCACCGTCTTCCGAAGGAAATGACCCCCGTGGAACCAGCTACCTTCGCTGCTGAACTGATATCCCGGTTAGAAAAGCTGAAGCAAGAGCAAGAAACGATGGACAGTTTGGAGGAGAGGCTACAGCAAATCAAAGAGGTAGGAGGATTAACCCCTCCGGCACCGGTGCACAGCTTGGAGCCTGCTGATCCGACATCTTTCTTGGGGGAGAGGAAGGGGGAAGCAAGAATGTCATAGCCTGTCTGCACTTAGCGTAGGGGGAGGTCTTTTCTTTATAAGCTTTGTATGTTGCATGCTTGAATGCTCTGTCCTCCGTCCCTATGTATCTGCTGTCCGGCAGCCATGCAAGCTTTGCATTCTCTGCCAACCTCGTGGGAAGAGCCCCAACTTCGGTTTTTCATGTGTCTCTTACTCGTGTTGCACCTTCAAGGAAGAAGAGAAGGAGGGCTCAGAGCTGCCTGCCAGCGCGCAGACCAATCGGGAGGCAGGAACCATGCTGCATCCGCAGCATCCACTCACTCTCTTACCATCCGGCAGCTACGAGGAAGACCCGCAGGCCATCCTGGATGACCACCTCTCGCGAGTGCTGAAAACTCCCGGCTGCCAGTCGCCCGGTATGGGGCGGAACAGCCCCCGCACCCACTCCCCAGACCGCCTCCCGGGGGGCAAGCCACTGCCAAGCGCGGCCTTGCCCGCAGCCTGCACGCTCATCAGCAAAGGATTTATCACCAAGCAGACCACCAAGCACGTCCACCACCACTACATCCACCACCACACCATCCCCAAGACGAAAGAGCAGATCGAAGCTGAGGCGGCGCAGCGGGTCCAGTGTTTCTGTCCTGGCGGTAGCGATTACAGCTGCTATTCCAAATGCAAGAGCCACTCCAAAGGGACAGAGCCGCCGCTAGCTCCGCTGGAGCCGTTTGGGTAAGTGGCAGGGATTTCGCCATAGCTGTAAATGTTAAACAATTTCTCAGTCAGAGGGAGGTGGAATTGATTCATGGGGAAACAGCCCCTTAAAAACCGGGCCCATGGGAAAGGCGGTCGTGACCCAAGCACAGCGTATTAATGGTGCCTGTTGCGGGGCGGGGAATCTCGTCCCTTTTGTGTCTCCTCCTTAGCAGAACTGGCACGCTGACTAAAAGGAATGGCAAGGTAACGGATGGCGTCGCCCAGCCGGCCGGGGAAGCTGGTCTCCCCGTAATGCCTGGCCTCCAGCTACCTGGGGGCGAGACGGATCGGTCACAGAACGTCTGGCAGTGGATGCTGGAGAGCGAGAGACAAAATAAGCACAAGCCTCATAGGTAAATATACATCTGTCTACAGCAATATCGCTCCCGGTAAATATTTATATATTACATAGGCTGTCTATTTTTACAATCGCTAAAAACAAATGAGACTCTTTGCTCCTCCGGTTTAATATAAAAGCCATTCCGCAGAACCAGAAAAACCACAAAAATGTCATGTTTTTGGCAGTAAACCCTTTTCATGTTATGACAGACTTTGGAGAGGGAGCAAGCAGACTAGGAGCTGCTATTGAAGTAATATTTTCCAGCTTTTATAAGCCGGTTCCTTCCCTCTTCTCTCACCCCCTCCCCTTCCCACCCCCAGCACACAAAGCACAAAGAAGGCCTACAATTTGGAGTCCACCAAAGGGATTCCCAGTGAGCGCCCAACCCGCCACCACCTGTGGGGAAACAACACTCACCCCCGTGGGGTGCAACCTGCCCACCCGTTCGTCCAGGATCCCACCATGCCTCCGCTGACCCCGCCCAATACCCTCGCCCAGCTGGAGGAAGCCTGCCGCAGGCTCACAGAAGTGTCCAAGCCTCAGAAACAAAGGTAACTACAATGCCAGGGGGAGGGGAGTGAAAAGTTTCCTAAACTTTTCCAGCCCTGAGTATGCCTCATTTTCTTAGCTCTCTATGATAGACAGACGCCCCCTGCTGGGAGCGGGCATGAATGGCCAATATGGCTTTCTTCTGGAATGGAATACCAAGAGCTTTATTTCAGGCTGCTTTTTTTCCTTCTTCCCTACTCTGTCTCTGGGTACCCCCCCATCTCCCAAGGGGCATTACTGGTTAACTGGCTGGCAGGCAGATGAACTAAGCAAGCTAACAGTAGACATCCAAGTGGCTAGAAATTTTATCTGATTTGCATGTAGCCTTATCTTCCAGATTTGTAATGGGAGGTGAGGAAAGTATTGCAAAACGTAACCTAATTAAGCCCTAAAGATGAACTTTCTTTTTCCAGTCCTCAATAGTTTGAATTTTATATTCTGTCTTTCACTGTCACTGCGAGTATAATTTGTTGTCTGGAACTCACACGGCTGCATGCCAAGCGATGAATTAGGTTGTTTATTAGGCAAGTGAATATGAAAGGATAAACCAGTCCCTTAGCATTCTTAATTCTTTCTTTGATTTGTGTTTTGGTGCAAAGAAGGAACTTAATGCCTCTCCGGAGACTTCACTTAAGACAATGTATTTTAACTTTAACAGGACTTGTTTTGTTTGTCCCCCCAACTTCAGATGTTCAACCTCAAACCAGCAGAGGGATCGAAACCACTCGTCTGCTGTTCCAGGGGGAAATGCCCCTTTCTGTAATGCAAGCCTAACTACAGAAGAGTGAGTACCAGATATACATTACATGTATTTCCATGGCCTTTAATTATCCTTGCATTTAATGGATGGCACATTGAAAAAACAAGACATTTTTATATCTGAAGTTTAGTCTTTCAAACATACTTTTTTTAAGGGAGAAAAAAAACATTTTCAAATCTCGTCTCTCGTTATTTTTAACTTGCATTTCTATAAAGTGGACAAAGATTGGATTAGTCTAATTACAGGATGGCTCTTTTAACAAGAAATCTGCTACAGAGAGGTCTAAAATGGCCTAAATAATTAAAGTTTTCTTTTTTACCCTCTTCATCTTAAGCAATGTTTGAAGTCCAGACTAAGCCACCTGACTAGAGTCTTTCATTTTTAATTGGTTGACCTTAAATCCACCAGCTGTCTTTGCTAGGAGCTTTTTTTTCTTTCCTGAAGCCACTCTACAAAGACTTAGAACAAATTAGGAAGACTAAATTACTGTGGACTAACACTTTGTGACCTTTTGACATGCCAAGTATACGTTGCCTCAGAAGTAGTTCTGGATTTAGTGAGATGACATTCATTCACTGCACTGTTGCTATTTTGTTACGTAGTATTTTTATATTGGCTTTTAAGAAGTGCTCCTCATTTCAAGTGACAGGGTCTGCTTCACTTTTTGCCTGGTTGTTCATGGGTACAGTAATGCTACCTGTGCTTTTGAGGCAAATAATCCTAGTGCTTTGTGTAGTTTTTGAACAGCAGACTTTGAAATGCCACCACCACCAACTAAAAGGTGTTTATATGGAGGGATACGCTAAGCTGCCATATAGTTTGTCTGAATGAAAATTGTGCGGCGTTGTCTTTGTGACCTTAGTAGACCAGATATAGAAAGTTAGTTTGGCTTAACGGTAATGTGTTTAGCTTAGCCGTTAGAGATTTACTGTTTGATATTCAGCAGACCATGTGATCTCTCCCCTCCATCCATAAAATGGGCACAGTTCCCCGAATAGGTGTGCTCTGAGGCATAATTTATTAACGTGCTTCAGCTGCTTAGAGTTATTATTTGTATTAGAGTAGCGCCTAGAAGCGGGCTAGCATGTTATGGTACATGCCCTACAAACACAGCACATACGCTCGCTTTCGTTGCAAGGTATTATCGAACTTTCAAATTGAGCCTGGCATCAATCTAGCCGCTGTTGCCTGTAGTAGAAATATTGGCTAGCAGGGAAGTCTTTGTTTCCAAATGAGAAACATGCTTTCTTTTTTGTTGCAGTCACAAAGAGCCAAAGAAACTCCCAGTCGCTCACGCCTCCCTGTCTACCGAGTTGGTTGTCACTTATTTTTTCTGTGGAGAAGAAATACCCTACAGGAGGATGTTAAAGGCCCAGAGCCTGACACTTGGGCACTTTAAAGAGCAGCTGAGCAAAAAGGGAAATTATAGGTAAGAATCTTGTGGTTTCTTTCGTCTGCTGAGACTATGAACCAAAATAACCGGCAAATAGTTTCTACAAACCCGCCCACGAGGAAAAAGTTACAGCACCTTTTTTGGGAGGTTGACGGCACTGGTTTACTGAACTCTTCTCTGTCTTTTTTTCCCCACTCCTCCACCAAAGCCAGGGTGGCTCACAGAGGCATGGGTATTGTGTTGCTTAAACTTGGTCTTGTCTTGTCGGTCAGTTCCTCTGATGTCTTGTCACCCAGGAATTGCATAAGAGCACACTGATTGTCCAGGGATAGTTATTGCCCGAATGCTGACGAAGATGCTCTTATGGTTAAGGGTTTGGACTGGGACTTGGAGAGATCTAAGTTCCATTTCCTCTACCCCTGACTTCCTGCCAGATCTTGAACTTGGTGCCTGTGTTCCCATCTGTGAAATGAGGGTATTGGCATTTGGCCTCCTTTGACAGAACATCCATATAAGTAACCTAGGTAGGCCCATTCTAGGATTGGAGATGTGAAGAGATGCTTTCAAGGAATTTTGAGTTGAGTTCCTGCAGATGCTTTTGGCCTCTTCCTAAACTCCTTTCAGCTAGAAATACCAAGCTGAGGAGGGTAAATTCCATTGAATATGGAGAACTAGGAGGTCACCAAATGAAATGAATAGGCAGTAAGTTTAAAACAAACAAAAGGAAGTATTTTTTCACACAGTGCATAATCAACCTGTGGAACTCCTTGCCAGAGGATGTTGTGAAGACCAGGATTTTAACAAAATTAAAAAAAGAGCTAGTTAAATTCATGGAGGATGGCTATTTGCCAGGATGGGCAGGAATGGTGTCCCTAGCCTCTGTTTGTAAGACGGTGGGTCTGGGCAACAGGGGGGTGGATCATTGTGGTGCATCTGGCATTGGGTACTGTCAGAAGACAGAATAGTGAGCTAGATGGACCTTTGGTATGACCCAGTATGGCCATTCTTATGAGTGACACTTAAAACCTTTCTCCCTGCTTTCCCTTTATAGCCACCCCTATGAATAAAAGGAATTCTAAAGGCCTAAGACTGTGTCTGGTATCTGTGTCTTAGAAGCCGGTTTCCCTTGTTTACTGCCTCCTTGTAATGGTCATTCCAATCACAGCAGTGTGGTCCGCAGCTATTTTTACTGTACTAGCCGAACGGACCGGATCAGTAATGAGCTGACAGTGTTCTATTGGTTGACGAGGCTCTATACAAAGGGTACAGGCAAAGTTAAGTTTGTTTGTTTGTTTGTTTGTTTTCAATTTTGTTTTGTGTTTGGCACTCCTCCAAGGACCACGTTCTGGAGCCCAAAGTCGCAAAAGTTGTCAAAAGAGCACAACGTTCTCCTTGTGGCTCCACCAGTGAATCTGCATTGGCTTTGAAAGATCCACTAAGAGTCTAGGCACACCTTCTGTTTTATATGGATGCTTGTCCAGGGGTGTTGGGGCTTGAGACACCCACATTCTCTGTCCTTCCCGACTGCCATCAGATTCAAAGGGGTAGCCGAGTTAGTCTGTAACGGGAAAAACTTAAAAAAACAACAGATAGATTACTAGCACCTTCAGATTGCAATTGCTACCAACCTGAGCTGGATTTGAACTGGCAACCAAACGTTGCACAGCATTTCTCTCTCTCCCATTACCCCATTCTCTCAGCAGCCATTTAGTGCTTCTATATATATATTTTTTTTATAAGTACCTCTTTAAAAAAAAAAAAAAGTACCCACAGTACCTATAGTTTTCAGATGCACAATTTTTTTTCTACCATTGCAACACATTTGTTTAAACAACTTAATCGTAGCTGGGTGGGCAATGATATTTTGGGGTATAAAAAGTACAAAAATAATAAAGCGCTGTAAAACTTAAAACAAAAATTCAAGTTTTCTTCAAATTTCAGTTGTGTTGATGTATCCTTCCAGACTTCTCTCAAATACCCCTAAGGGTATCTGTACCACTGGTCGAGAAACACTGCTCTAGAACATCTTGTTCTGTTTCCCCTGAAAATTCTCTCTTGTGATGCTAGGGTCCTTGAGTAAGATATTAAAACTTCGGTGGCCTTAAAGCCCCTGCAGGTGCAATTATTTGTGCCTTGTCAGACTGTAATTACTTTAGAAAATGTTTTTAAGTGACTGACAAGGATGAAACAATGTTTTGCTTAGATCTCTCCCCTTTACACCTGGGTAAAGACAATACAGAAATTTATAAAAGGAACTTGGGTACGTGCCCAGTATTTTATCTTGCACAGACACAAGGTGAAACTAATTACACAAATGTGTGTACCTCCAGGGAATCATTTTGATCTAAGCTTTGACTTTTGGCTGGACTTTGAGTGAAACTGCAGGTGACCTTCAGGGAAGAGGGCCGTACTACCCAGGGTAGTGTGTGTGTGTGTCTGTGCAGAGGGAGGCACTAAGTAGACTGCTTTGGTCACATCTGGCATTGATTTCTTTTTAAGGCACACTTAATAAGCATGTCTTTGAAGCTTTTGCCTTTCATTTAATGCACAAAGACATGCATAAATGGTTGACTCTCAAAATTCTTTATTGATTGAATCAGTTTGCAACACGGGCACCTAAAAGCTCTATTCTTGTGCCGTTTTTCAGTGCCAAAGTCATGTGTCTGAGCATACAGTGGGATATTCACCCAGCACATTGTATTTCAGGCTTTCTTAAAAAATAAAATAAAAAAATTAAGCAGTGATTTCATACTGATGGTGTTGACAAAAAACAAACACACACACACACACACACACACACAACTGGGTGGTGTTGGGTAATCTTAACATGGCAGAAGTTCAAAACAGCAACACCAGGCCTGCTAGATTCTATTGGTGCCAGATGTCAGGGGGGAAGAAAAAGAAGCAAAGCTTGCCACATAAAACATGTTTGAATGGAAAGCCCATTTCTGTGAGCAAATAAGTGCAGAGCGACTTGTTTGAAGATGTTGTGGGGGGAGTCCCCTTCTCTCTTTCTGTCTGTGAAATAAGGTTGTAATTATGTAAAAAGTTATAATGTGTTTTCTTAAATAAAGATGCAGTGTTCAAACAAAAAAAGAAAAAAAAAAGATGTGTAAACACCAGCAGAGAGAGTTGGTGGAGGAAGCTATAGGGAAAGCAGGCTGTTCTCTGAAAAGGGGAGGGTAAGGGGAGAGCTGGGGGAGAGTCCTTAAAACTCATTCACATTTTTTTGCCTTTTGGTTTTATTTTGGGCTTAGTGGCTCGTGGAATTACAGCCCTGACCTGAAGCATTAAAGTCAGTGGGAACTTTGCCATTGACTTTTTAGTGAGTGTAGGTTCAAGTTGTGTAAGAACAACTTAAACAAGAGCTATTTCTGTTACCGAACAATTAAAGACCCAATGCTGTACATCATCAGTTCAACCAGGAATGACTTTTAAAAAAAGAAAAGTAAATGTACCTTGACTAAATGTAGCTGTTTTACTCATTCCTGTTCTCTCTACCTAAAACATTTAGCTTGTCTTAAAAAATTAAAACGTGGTTACTGAGTATTTAGTGTTTAAATATTATTTTTATTGAAAATTCATTACAAATGCTAAAGTCCAATTCATGTTTTTAATGAAGTGATTCCCTAAATTTTGGGGCATCTTCCTATAAAAGTTATGACCTGCAACTCTCCAACACCTTCAACCCCTTGGTTGAAAATTACAGAGCAGGGTAATTAAAAAAAAAAAAATCTTATCTGATGAGGAGTTTCCTTTTCTGGTGATCAGATCACAAAGTATTTTTTTGAGAGTGAGTAGGGCAGATTAGAGGAGGTGTGTGGTAGTAGACGGGCAGGCTCCTTAAATGCTAACCTTCTGAATGGAAGCCCTTCATTTGTGCATATGCAATTAAGCAGCCTTAGAAGGAAGAATGCTAGAAAAGGGATAAAAGGAACCTTTAATCAAGAAGCTGAACGGTCTAATTCGGGATAATAGAGGGGTCCTTACTGTTTGACACAAGAGGGGTGGGGGCGCTTTTTTGTCTGGCCAAGCATTGGCTTCATGATCTAACGACCCAGACAAAAAGAGAAGGAATGCGACCCACTTCTACTTGACCTTCCAGTGTCAAATATTGCAAGCTAGACCAAGATTGCTCTTTGCACGCGACCAGTAGGAAGCATCCGAGAAGGAACAACAAGCCGTTTCTGTCACTGAAAAGTAGATGCATGTTTTAGCTTTTGGTTTTTGTTTTGTGACGTGCAAGACATAAACTTGATCCACAAACTTGACGAAGGGAGAAATGCCACATAATTACAGTCTTGTTTTGGAGGAAGCATGGCACAGATTTTGAGCTACTCTCCCCCCTCCTCCCTCCAAAAAAAATGCCTTATTTAATAAAAACTCCTCAGTGCGCTGTTGTGCTCTAGAATTTATGCACGAAAGAAAGGAGAACAAAAACGTTTGCTAGAATTGTATTTGGTTAAACGAGATGTTTGGCAAGAGCTTGCTGTGCTTTTTTTAAATTGTTTTCTCTTGTTGCAAATATCTGCTGCCAACATGCATAACTTGTTCAAGGCCCTACTCCCTGAGGTGCCCTATTTTATTAAGTAATATACTTCCATTCCTTTGCTCTTGTTCCTCAAACACTACTTCTTCTGCACAGCGTGGCTGGCTGTTGTTGCCATTCTAAATCAGATTTTGGCAGATACGTGCAAACAGGTCACTTGTGAGTTATGGAGGATTTTAATGGTATCGGACCCGATTGCTTTCTCCGTTCACATGTTACGCTTATGTGAAAGGAGAATCAGACCCTTGGTTGGAAATGTTTGCTGCTGCTATCTAAAAAGCATGGTAAAGCAACACTTCTTTATTTAAAACTGCTTCCTCTCCCTCAGGTATTATTTCAAAAAAGCGAGCGATGAATTTGACTGTGGTGCGGTTTTTGAAGAAATTTGGGAAGACGAGACAATTCTGCCCATGTATGAAGGAAGGATTCTTGGGAAAGTAGAGAGGATTGACTGACTGATGGAATGGCATCTATGTCTTTGACACAACCTAAGCTAAAGATGTGTTTAGACACATAGCCACAGCAGCAATGACAACAAAAAACTTTGAAGGAACCTTTTGAACCGATGAAGAAGAAGAAGTGAAGCCTATGAAGACTTTGCCAAATTAGCCTTAGAGAAAAAAATGGCATTTATTATACATGAGTTGGGTACTGAGATGATAAAAAACCAACCAATCTACCAACCCTGAACTATTTATTAAAAACATGACCACTGTTGGCTATTGAAGATGCAGACCATGTTTGAGAGACTTCCATACATAATATATGATTTCCTGGGGATCTGAAATCTATGGACTAAGAGAAACTGTGTATAGCTTACCTTACCAGTAATCCTTATTGATATTTATTGAACAGTCTGTTTTCCCTTAAATCCAGTTTATGGATATGCTGCTTTAACAATGGTAAAAAGAGAGGTTGTGGGGGGAGGGAGGAAAGAGGAGAAGGGGTTATTTTTTTATGTCCCACTATCTACAGTTTTGGAGTTCAGCGATAGGAATGCATTCATAATTTCTACCACTTTAAAGGGATTGAGGTGGAGGTGGGTGAATTATGCTTCACCCAGTATTTCTCCAAGGGAAGTTAAATGCTTTTCTGAAGAAATAATACATTGCCCTGCCATTCACTCATTTAGAGACCAGTGTATTTTAATGTATGCTGCTCTAATTTGGAATCAAGGTCATTACGTGTTAAATATTGTAGATGCAATACACTGTAGTAACAGCAATTGGTTTGTTCCCCTTCCCCGGGTGGTGGTGAGGGTTTTTTCTTTTTGTTGAACTCATTGTGTGGGACTCCATGTTATGTCCAGTGCCTATTTTTCGCAAGGCGGATGGTAGAAATGCCAACCTAGGAGGAGAAGCCAGTCAGTTCACATTTACATATTAACACACCAAAAGGACACATTGCAAAAGTCAGGTTAAAACCCAGATGTGTATTCCATAAAGCTAACCTTTTTTTAAAATCCTACTTCAATTTTAGCACATCTTCTATATAAACTATGTTCAGTGATGACAGGGTGGATTTTCCAGTGTGTGTGTGTGTGTGTGTGTGTGTTTACAAATTTTAAATGACATCCATTCGAGCCAATGGGAGTTGTGGGCGAAGCTCCTTGTAACCCTTTGAAAAGCTTCCTTGTGTGGGTGCACGTGTGTGAGTGTGTATCTGTAGGGACAACACAATCCTTTCCCAAGAAAAATCTGGCATTTCTACGTTTTGGGTTTTGTTTTGATTAACTTAATCTGAGCATTCTGTTTGCCATTGCTACTTTGTATAATACGTCTGTATATATTGTAGAAAATGTATGGTCGAAAAAATAATACACTATCTCAAGTGTTTTAAAATTGATTCAGTACAGTACCTGTGCCTGCATGGTGTTACTTTGCCATGTGTCACCCTATATTCAGGGTTCATGTTTTTCCCTTGTTTGTTTAAGGGGTTTATGTATAAATATATTTTATGCCTTTTATTACAAGTCTTGTACTCATGACTTTTGCCATGGCATTTTGTTTTACTTATACTGTAAATTATGCATTATAAAGAGTTTCATTTAAAGAAAATTACTTGGTACAATAATTATTGTAATTAAAGAGATGTAGCCTTTATTAAAATTTTATATTTTTCAAATTAATATTGTCTGATTTTTAATGTCTTGAATGATGGTAGTACCCTCAAAGCCCTGACTGAGCTCTGGTCCCCGTGATGTTCGCTGCCCTGGACAGTTTGCCATCTAAATAGAACCCAACAGTTCCTCTCTCCGACTCTTGCTTATTACTTTTATGAGACTCAGTAAGAAATAAAAGTAACATTTTCATGCCCAGTGACTTAAGTCCCATTTTCAAAAGTGACATGCATTTAGGAGTCTAAGGGCATATCTGGGGTTGAGGGAGCTGGAGGGCAAGACATGCCAGAAAGTTAAGGTGAATCAACTAACGCTGTGAAATCAACTTGCATAAATCAAAGTCTATTAATCCTCTGTGTAGATATCTCATTCAGAAATAAAGTGGCTTTAGATTGCAGTAACTTAATCCTCCTCCAAATAAATCTCATTGCCTAATTCCCACTGATGTTCACTTTTCACTTTGACTTAAGTGAGTTGCCCAAGGTCCCACATGAAGTCTGTGTCAGTCAGGAATGGAATCGAGGTTCCCTGAGGGCCTGTCTGATGCTTTAACCAGAAGCTTCTCCTTTCTCTCCTGCTCTGGTGCAGAAACTTGCTTTGTGAATCAACATACCTCACTAGGCCCTAGCCCTCCCGAGTGGAAGTTGTCGGTTTCAGTAGCGTTACACCAAGGATGAAATTGACTCCGAGCAATCACCTACAGGCCTCCAAGTTTCACGCAAGTAGCTCTTGTAGAGTGATCATGGAAATGCCCGTGACCTGGTATGTTAGTAACCGAAGCCTAATTTTTTTTTTTCCTGTTTGATATACCTGTGGCACCTATTGCTTTTTTTTCCCACCCTCTTTTTCCTTATAGTTTAAAGTATCTGGATTATTTTGTGTGTATGAAAAGACTTCATTTAAAACATCAGTAAAATTCCGATCAAAGGGCTCAACTTCATACCGAGTACACAGAACTAAGAACTGAATCTTTCAGTTAAAAAATAAAAAAGCTGCAGGCAGCATTGCACATTTAAATGCATGGTGTCTTTTATATCAAACACCTTCTGAAATTCATGGGGCTCATCTTAATTGATAAGCTGGACATAACGGATGGGTAGGGAGACTTCAACAACATGAGGGAAGAAAGGTGTGGGTTTTTTTTTTCCCTTTCCCCATTCTACCATCAAAGGTTAGGAACTTAAGCACTGCACAGTAATATTATTTTTCTTCTGCTATTAAAATGAATCACACTGTGCCTAATTCTTCTTGGGAAGATAAATGTGTTTGAGGCTGCTTGAAGTCATTCACTGCCATACAAGCCTTTGCATCTTTTTATCAATGTTCCAAAATACTCACCTCTGTTTTTTCGGATGTCTGTAGAAACAAAAACTAAAATGGCTTCAAATACATGGCAGGCTGTTTAGCAGAGATGAAAGGATAGTTGAATAGTCTTTTAAAAATGAATGAAAAGTGAATACTCCTCTGTTTCAATTATAAGCGGGATGTGGAGATCATTAGACACCATCTTAATGTGACACTTTGAAGGCGTTCAGCTACCTTGACGTGTTCAGAAACCTTGTTTTCAACTTGTCGCAGGCTGCGGAGAACCGAGCCACAAAAGTGGCCATGAAATGAGAGCCCAGCATGAGAGAAAGGGCTGCTTACATGAAAAAGTTGCGCTGCTATAACTTTGTGGGTGAAGATAAGCCAATGTTATTAAACTAATAACTGGGTGCCTTACAAGCTTTACCTCACGGCACTTAAGAGAAGCAGGGAAATGCTATTCCCAAGCCACAGATGAGAGCACTCAGACACAAGACCCAGATTTTAACAGCATTTCGGTGCCTAAACGTCTGTACAAGTCTGGGCTCACATGTCCCACCTCAGCACAGGAGGTCTATGACCGAGCCCAAGGCCTAGGTAGGGCTCTGACAGTACCTCCATCTTTATCTGCTGCCGTCAAATCTGTAATTGCAACTCGGGTAGCACACTAGCAGTGCACTACTAGCCCCGGAGACGTGGCGGTGTGGGCTTTCAATGACAGTATGGACCTAGGGCCCCAGTGGGTATGCACGCCTTACACTGCTGTGTACGCATGTTATTTTTGGCTGTAAACACCAGGGCTGTGTCTAGACTGGCCAGTTTTTCCGGAAAATCAGCCGCTTTTGCAGAAAAACTTGCCAGCTGTCTACACTGGCCTCTTGAATTTCCACAAAAGCACTGACGATCTCATGTAAGATTGCCAGTGTTCTTGTGCAAATACTATGCTGCTCCCGTTCGGGCAAAAGTCCTTTTGCGCAAAACAGCCAGTGTAGACAGCCCAGATTTGTTTCCCGCAAAAAAGCGCGTCTAGATTAGCCACGGACGCTTTTCTGCAAAAAGTGCTTTTGCGGAAAAGCATCCGTGCCAATCTTGATGCTCTTTTCCGAAAATGCTTTTAACGGAAAACTTTTCCGTTAAAAATATTTCCGGCAAATCATGCCAGTCTAGATGTAGCCCAGCAGAGCGTGCGTTGGGCTGCCTAGCCACAGCTCTGTGCACCTCTGATTACAATGTAGCCATTACTAAAGTAAGACTGGCGAAGGGTCTTAAGAAAGGCTTGCATGGGTTTCGCTCACGAACAAGCTTCAGTCAAAATAAGCTGCTTTTACTCAACAGTTGTCTCCATAAGAACGGCCGTACTGGGTCAGACCAAAGGTCCATCTAGCCCAGTGTCCTGTCTACCAACAGTGGCCAATTCCAGATGCCCCAGAAGGAATAAACAAAACAGGGAATCATCAAGTGATCCCTCCACTGTCACCTATTCCCAGCGTCACCTCCCCTGTCACCTATCACTGAGTTAAATGTCCAGCATATGATTCCGAGGCCTTGGAATGGTGCTAAACCACAGTACGCCCTTCTACACATTTTGGCTGTGTCTAGACTGGCATGATTTTCTGCAAATGCTTTTAACGGAAAAGTTTTTCCATTAAAAGCATTTGCGGAAAAGAGCGTCTAGATTGGCACGGACGCTTTTGCGCAAAAGCACTTTTGGGGAAAAGCGTCCGTGCCAATCTAGACGCGGTTTTGCGCAAGAAAGCCCCGATCGCCATTTTCACCATCGGGGCTTTTTTGCGCAAAACATTTTTTAGCTGTCTACTCTGATACATTTGCGCAAGAGGGCTTTTTCCCGAGCGGGAGCAGCATAGTATTTGCACAAGAACACTGACAATCTTACATGAGATCGTCAGTGTTCTTGCGCAAATTCAAGCGGCCAGTGTAGACAGCTGGCAAGTTTTTCCGCAAAAGCGAGTGCTTTTGCGGCAAAAACTTGCCAGTCTAGACGCAGCCTTTAAGTCTGTCACCTCACCGTTGTGTTTTGGTATGGTTGTTGTGGGGAGTTGCTCTTCAAAAAGGTAAGCTGCTGGGACAGTGGATTTAGGTCACTGTGGCATGTTCTCATGCATGCCATAATGTCTCTTGATCCCTTTGGCTGTGCTCCATTCTGTGTGTGTGCTCCATTCTGTGTGACACCGGAAGCAGAACATTGGGGGGGAAAAAATCCTTGTCTCCTCCAAATAGCCTGAAAGGGCCGAGGAGACACTTCTGATGCTCTTCCATTAGCTAGGCTAGCACGTGTCCTAGAGACCTAGCAGAACCTAGAGTTATAGCACACTAGAACAGGAAGACAACTTGAGAGGTCATCAAGTCTAGTCCCCTGCCCTCATGGCAGGACCAACCACCATCTAGCTCATTCCTGATAGATGTCTATCCAACCTATTCTTAAATATCTCAAATGACCACAGTCTCCACCACGTCCCTAGGCAATTTATTCCACTGCTTGACCACCCTGACTGGCCGTTTTTCCTGAAGTCCACCCTAAATCTCCCTTGCTGCAATTTAAGCCCATTGCTCCTTGTCCTATCATCAGAGGTCAAGTAACCAGGGTACAGTGCATTGCTTTACAGCAGCTGACCAGCCCATGCCACTGAGCTGTGGTTTTTGGAACATCACAGGGTAACATGCTCTGTGACGCTGTAGATCTGCGATGGTTAAGGATCACTGCATTAGACAGTCTTTCCAGTGTGAGCAACTGGTGGGAGATCAGTCTCTTCGCTGAGCTGTAACAACAAATAAGTTAAGTAAGTAGAATGCATTTTTAGTAACGCCCTGATGTGTGTGTGTTACGGGGCTCTGTATCTTGCGACACAGTCGGTAGGACTCTTCCCCGGTACCATTCACCGGAAGTTCCCAGAAGCCCTGGAACTGAGCTTCACAGTAGTCCCTGACGTGGTAGGTATGTACTAACCTAGGAGTCTCAAACGCCTGAACCATGGGCCAGTTTCAGCCAGAACGATTGTGCAATTTGGCCCAGGACTCCCAGCAGGCTACCATCGGCCCCCAAACCCTAACCCTTTCTGCCACCTTCTCCCCTCATGACACCCTTTCCCCTGAGCACATGGCTTTGGGGATCACCTGCGGCTGGGGGCGCCTGGTGCCTAGCACCTCTCCGCCTTTCCCAGGAAGTGGAGCATGTGTTCCCACCAAGTGCGCTCTGCTTCTCCCATGGCTCCTGGGAGTGTGGGAGGGGACACAACTGCTAACACCATGCAGCACCAGCCCTCCCCAGTGATCCCCAAAGCCGGGTTTTGAGATGATGGAGGGAGAGGGCAATGGTGCAAAGGAGCAGAGCTTGGGGCCCAGTAATGGACCCCCCAACCCACCAGGAGTCATGGGCCAGATTGTGTACTTCTGCTGGGACTGGCCAGCGGTCTGGGAGTTTGAGACTCCTGTACTAACCCCATTTTATAGGTCACTGAAGCATAGCATGATTAAGTCAGTCAATGTCCCACCACTCCTCTGTAGTAGTGTCAGGGAGAGAAATGCCAAGCCGTCCCCAGTCCTATGCGTTATGCACAGCACAAGAGTTTCCTGTCCCCCATTTAAAATGACCCAGAGCATGGGGATCTCTCACTTTATCCTCCCACTTCCTCCTCCCCTGCCATAAACCCACTTCTCAAAGACAAGTTC